GAAGAGGAAGAGGAAGAACTACAACCTCTCTTCAACAAGCTATCCTCTTTAGTTGTTACATCTATCTTCTCAAAGAAGCTCCTTGTCATATCCTCCAGCAACATCAATTCCTTTGCTTAGTCAATTTTGCTTACATGCTTACATGTCTTCAGCTGTTGCTTCCAAGTATTGATTAGAGGGGAGAAGGGGAAGAATATACTTTGAAGAACAATGAATATTCTGTTTATGTTGTAGAGAATAAAGATATTCTTATGAGAAGTATGTGCATCTCTCTCACCCTTCAGAGAAGATACTGTGACACAGGAAGCAAAAGGAACTCTTGTCTACTCCTGTATTTCAGTAGACTCTGTCAAATCCTTCTAGGGCAGTGGTTCTCAACCTGGGATCCCCAGATGTTTTAAGCCTACATCTCCCAGAAATCCCAGCCAGTTTACGAGCTGTTAGGGTTTCTGGGAGTTGAAGGCTAAAAACATCTGGGGACCCCAGGTTGAGAACCACTGTTCTAGGGACCTCTTCAGATGTGCCACCGGAAACGCCATTGATCGTGGCAATTCTGGTGGTACACATCCAGCGCCTCATGCCCTACACCATCCCAGCTTCTCCCCCACTTAACCCATGGGGGGGGGGAGCATCTGACGGCCGGCTTGCTCCGTTGACTGCAATGCAACCACGAGAAGCCTTCTGCATTGCTGCCGGCAGCTTTTTTCAGTGGCAACTCTGATTCCATAGCAGTCTTGCCACAGAGCCACCCTGGAAGTATTTCTAGTGTGTGATGGGAGCCAGGGGGCTCCATAGCAAAGCTGCTGAAGAACTGGATTTGTTGCCAAAATGTGCCCCATGTGAAGAGGTCTTAGGTATCATCTTGACATCCCTACAATTTTGGCATTCTTATTATCAAATATTCTCTCTTAAGATGGCAGGCACCAGTACCCATGCTTCTCCTCTGTTGGTGACATTTTTGGAGCCAGTGACCCTGTTGGTCCTCTTGGACATCTCAGCGGCTTTCAATACCATTGATCATGGTATCCTTCTGGGATGGCTCTCTGGGATGGGTCTCGGGGGCACGGTTTTGTCATGGCTCCGGTCCTTCCTGGAGGGTCGATCCCAGATGGTGAAGCTGGGAGATGCCTGCTCGGACCCCTGGCCTTTGACCTGTGGGGTCCTGCAAGGCTCTATTCTGTCTCCCATGCTTTTTAACATCTACATGAAACCGCTGGGAGAGGTCATCGAGTTTTGGAGTTAGGTGCCATCTCTACGCAGATGACACACAACTCTACTACTCTTTTCCACCTAACTCCAAGGAAGCCCCTCGAGTGCTGGACGAGTGCCTGGCCACTGTGGCTATCTGGATGAGGAAGAACAAGCTGAAGATCAATCCCGACAAGACAGAGGTCCTCCTGGTCGATCGCAAACCGGATCGGGGTATAGGGTGGCAACCTGTGCTGGATGGGGTTACACTCCCCTTGAAGTCACAGGTCCGCAGTTTGGGAGTCCTCTTGGATTCATCACTTACGCTTGAGGCTCAGGCGTCGGCGGTGTCCGGGAGGGCTTTTGCACAATTGAGACTCGTGCGCCAACTGCGACCGTACCTCATAAAGGCTGATCTGGCCGGGGTGGTCCATGCCTTGGTCACCTCTAGATTGGACTACTGTAATGCGCTCTACGTGGGGCTGCCCTTGAAAACGGCTCGGAAATTTCAGCTAGTCCAGGCAGCCAGGATGTTAACTGGTGCTCCTTACAGAGAGAGGTCAACCCTCCTGTTCAAGGAGCTCCATTGGCTGCCGTTCATTTTCCAGTCCCAATTCAAGGTGCAGGTGCTCACCTACAAAGCCCTAAATAGTTTGGGACCAGCCTACCTGCATGACTGCATCTCCGTTTATGAACCCGCACGCTCCCTTCGTTCATCCGGAGAGGCCCTGCTCACGATTCCACCTGCGTCGCAGGCGGTTGGTGGGGACGAGGGACAGGGCCTTCTCTGTGGTAGCCCCCCGACTCTGGAACGCCCTCCCCAAGGACATTAGACAGGCTCCTACGTTGGCAGTCTTTAGGAAGAACTTGAAGACTTGGCTATTCCGGTGTGCCTTTCCAGAATAGGAAACTCCAGCAACACGTCCCAGAAGCACTTTACTAGAGACCTAAGATTGTCAGCACGTTGCACTTACCCAAAAATCCTTATATTTCAACTGTCATACTCAGCACTTTTAATCTGTACCCATTTACACTTGGCCCGGCCTTAGTTTTGTTGTGCTATGGTGTACTGTTTTTACTGTGTACTGGATTCGGTCTGCCTTTGCAATTTCTGGGTGTTTTGGGTCCGGGGGCAGGGCAAGTGCTGAAGCGGCGCATGACGGATGTCTATGCACAGCTGGACCTAGAGAGCACAGGTAGGTCTTCAGCCACAAGGTTTTTAGCTTCCCACAAAAGGAATACTCATTTAGAGCACTACCTAACTATTCCCTACCTGTCCTCTACCCTTATAGAAGGGAATTATATCCTAGGGCTAGGTTTGGAACAACTCGTATTAGGGTAGCTAAACCTGGTGTGCTAACTTGTAACATAAAACAAAAAAGCACAAGGTATCTATGGAGTTCTACCATGACTTCTGTGGAAACATTTGAACATTTATTTCATTTAAAAATATGTCAGGTGGATGCAGAACAAACGCTTCTTATAAATGAAATTAGATGAGCAGGAAACCAAATAGCAATGTTCTGTTGACTATATAGATGTTCACTTTCTGTTCTTAGTCCCTTGTTAGCTTCTCTTATAAGGGACTACTATCAAGTGAGGAGATGGGTTACTTTTTTCCAGGCTCCTGAATATAGGGGTGTGTTTCTGAATATAGGAGTGTCATGTGGGTGCAGGAAAGATAAGATTCCTGACTGATATATTGGGGATTTGAGGAAGGTCGGCTGCTGTCTTCTTACCTTTTTGCCTTGTTTTTTTAGGCTGCATGTGTTCTAAGTTCTTCGAGAATAGTCATAATGACTGATTCATATGATAATGAATTATTATTATCTATTAGTTATGATTATTATTATTGTGTCTTAGTGTATTGTTTTATTTGTTTACTGTCTATTGCTTTAATGTTTTGATTTGCTTTATGGTTTATGTGTATTGTTGTATTGTTGTTTTATTGAGGCCTTGGCCTTTGTAAGCCGCATCGAGTCCTTCGGGAGATGTTAGCGGGGTACAAATAAAGATAATAATAATAATAATAATAATAATAATAATAATAATAATTTCTGCAGATTGGTGCACTTAGTCTTGTAAATTATCTCCTTATTACTTGATTCCAACATACAAATACTCAACTAAATGTTTGAACTATTTACTGGACCAGACTTTGCCAACATATGCAGGAAAATTTAGTGGAAACGGGATGAAAAAACATGTGGCACTGTGCCAGATTCAGTGTGAAGAATATCTGTTTGCTCTCTTGCACAGACAAGCACCGCAGGCATGAAGCTGAGCTGTAAATTTTTCAATTGTGTTCTTTTTAAAAAAAGTAGGGGGAGATGTTGTTATATGTGAGAATATTCAACACCGGAGAGCCTATCTGCAGTTCACTGTTTAATACCAGTAGAATTCAATATACCCCTTGCATAATATACACAGTTAGGAGTTTGTCACCTCATTCGTTCTGCTGTTTGTGTATACCAGACCATAAAGTGTTCACATTATCTAAAAACAATTCAGTCTGCAATGAAAAATTGGTGATGACACCATCAGACCTGCAAGGCATCATCTGATATTCTGATGAATAAGTGATGAAGGCAGTAGTTGTAAAATGTGGCTTTCGGAATCTGGCCAAATTCTTAACCTGTTAATTAAACTGAACCAATACATTTTTACTTCATTTTAAGTTATGCTTTAGGGCCCTTGAGTAGCTTTAATTACTGACTGACAGAGGCAGATTATGAAAAAAAAATGGAAAAGAATGAGCTATGATGATTTATCATTGGATATGCATGTATGTGCACTAGGGCTGGGCAACCACGGAAAAATTTGTTTCTAAACTCGATTCGTTTTTAGGGGGTTTTTGCGTTTCGTTTTTTAAAAGAATTCCGAAATTTTTCTTTAAAAAAGTTCGATATTTACGAAATTTCGGAAATTACGAAACAATTTCAAAACAATAACGAATCAAATCGTTAATGGCAGACGTGATTGCGCAATACGCTAAAAAACCCTCCAAATGGGACAGGGGGAACTTCTGAAGCTTCCCTCTCCCTCTGTTTTTGACTGTTGGTGTGATAATTTATTTTTTTATCACTGATAAAACAAACAACAACTATAAAACTTGCACCAGACATACGGAAATAATAACAAAATAATAACGAAACAATTTCGAAACAATTTCAAAACAATTACGAAACAATTACGAAATAAATTTTAAAAATTCGTTTCGATTTTTAGTTGCTCCTGAATGGTTCAATATCGGATCGTAAGCCACTTTAAATACGAATTATTAACGAATTACGAAATTAACGAACGAAACCGCCCAGCCCTAATGTGCACACATACGCATGTGGGCAACACTGATAAGTTGTTTTTAAACAACATGATAAAGCATTAGAGCCTACTGTAAAAGGTCAAATACGTTCACTATTTAAACCTGCAGAGAGGCCTATGAGTTCATTGAGGATATGCTGGAAGCTGAGCGAAAAATGGCTCCCCTTGAGACTAGCTGTCATAACACATGGGAAAAGAAGGAAAGAGATGTTGCCATTTGCTTATATTCTAGCTAGAGGGAGGGCAAACATCCAATGATATTTGTCATATTATATTGCTGTACTGCTAGAAGAGGTCATGCATGCTGACAAACTCAGTTTATTAAAAGCAAACCATATAACTATGGGAGGTAAGGTTATTAAATCCATCCAATGATGCATGACATACTATGTAGGCTCTTCACCCACTGAAATCAGTGGGAGGCAGACGGGTTAAAAACAAACTTATCAGTTGAATTGTTCAGATATATATACAAATTATAAACTGACCTTTTTTACATTTTTGTTTAAGTCAACCAAGCTGAGCAGAAAAATGTGGTCTTTAGCGCCGAATAGCAGCCGACCCCTTTCTTCATCGAGCAGCAGGGTCCGAAAATCCATCCCCTCTGCTGAGCCCAGGAATGGGACACAGCTGTTGGAAAGCAGCAAGTCTGTGAGAGAATGAAGAAAATCTTTACAGTCAACAATGTATACACACGTCTCATTGGAGCCTTATATAAATATATGCACCCAGCATGATCTTTGCTGGTTAAGATAACTTGTTGGACCAAACAAGGCATTCATTTTAAAGAATGAGGCAGCAGAAGGAGGAGGTAGGGTGAGGGGAAGAGATTACCATAGTACAGTTTTTTAAAGACTGGACATATATTTTGTTTCTTGTAATGTTTAATGAGTAAAGTGATCAAAAGATTACAGTGTCTTCTATACAAGGATAAACTTAAACATTTAAGAGTTTTTACTTTGCACAAAAGAGAGTACAGTAGAGTCTTGCTTATCCGACTTTATGTATTCATTTGAACAGACTTCCAGATGGTATCATATCAGACTTCCATATCACTCAGAGGCGGCCCTAGGTAATTTTCAACGGTAAGCAAACAGTATTTTGGCGTCCCCCCCCCAACCAATCACTGATATATATTTTCTGTTCGTCGTGGGAGTTCTGTGTGCCATATTTGGTTCAATTCCATCATTGGTGGAGTTCAGAATGCTCTTTGATTGTAGGTGAACTATACATCCCAATAACTACACTTGCCGCACTTGCTCCCTTGCCTGGCCCGCTTTGGGTCTGGAGGCGTGCCTGAAGACCCCGGCGTGTGCACCAAAAGTCACCTCTTCTCCTGACTTTCTCCTCAGCCATTGGGACAGAGAGAGAGAGAGAGAGGTGGAGATGCCCACCTTTCTTGAAGGTAGGCGCAAAAACAAAGGAGGGACGGAGGTGGGAGATACCTCCAGCCGGAGGGGCGCTCTCTCTCTCTCTCTCGGTCCCATGGCTGAAGAGAAAGTCAGAGGCGAAGCCGATTTTTTTGTTGTTTTTTTTTTTTTTTTTGGGGGGGGGGGTGGGTTGGGTTTTTTTTTTTGTGTTTTTCTTTGGTGCGCATGCTGGGGTCTTCAGACACGCCTCCGGACCGAAGCGGGCCAGGCGGCGGCTCCGCCCCTTGGCCCACCCGCGGATTGGGGAGAGGAGAGGAGGCGGGTGGAGTGCCAGGGGATCGGGAAAGGGAGCCGGTCATGGGGAAGGGATCGAACGTGGAGAACGATTGAGCGCCGGCTCTGCTCGCGCACCCGGTGGCCGGGTGGAGCAGGAACGAGAGGGGCTAGGTGAGGCTCAAGGGCCCGGCCCCTTTGGGAAGAGGATCGCCCGACAGTGAGGCAAGAAAGCAGAGGCTCCTCCCGGACTGCTAGGGCTGTTGTGAGCTGAGGGGGCGCTCCTCAAGTGGCAGTCGAGGGGCATTTACAGAGGCGCCTCTGTGCCCCTGGCAAAAAAAAGTGTTCTGCGACCGCTTACTTCGCGTAATGGACGAGCCGCCCCTGCATATCACAAACTGCTTTTGAAAGCCATGCTTTCAGAGTGATCGTGAATCTGCATGGTAGCTGGAGTTAGTTAATATCAAAGCTGTTTTACCCACCTTTCAGTTATACACTTTGCTGCATTTAATTCCTAGGAATTTCCTAGGAATTTCAGATCCAAATGGCAACTTAAACCTCATGTTTCAAAGTGTCTAGGTAACATATTAGCCATATAATAATTGAGTATCTACCTTGGGCCGTGTACCATCATGGTAAGCATTGGATGCCCATCTATAATACTTTATTTGAAACTTCAGCAACAAATTTTAGATCAATTACATGACAATATTGGGAAAATGTGATTTAGAGATTTCCTTTTTGAACAAATTAAATGCCTTGTTCTAATTACAAAGCAGCATTATTATTGCTCTCTCTCTTTCAGCAATGACATCTATAAATAGTAAGACTTGATATAGATGATATGGCAACACATAAAAATAATAAAAATATTTCATGACAATTTGGGAGTTACATTTCATAGAATCATAGAATCAAAGAGTTGGAAGAGACCTCATGGGCCATCCAGTCCAACCCCCTGCCAAGAAGCAAGAATATTGCATTGCTCCAGAAAGACGCATAGGACAATATAAAAATATGATATTCTATAATTAAGTCCATAAAAATAGTTGCATGTTGCTATGCTCTGCCGTAATTCATTCAGTAATCCATTCTATTGTACTTACATGTGTAATCCTTCTAATTCTATAGAGATAAAATCAGAATTTGGTCAAGGAAATATTTCTTGCACAACTAACTTAAACCGTCAACTGTGAAAAGATTCCACTCTGGCATGCTTGTATAATCCTGATGGGGGTCACTGATGGGAAGCTGGCAGGAGTAACATCCTTCAGCAATGTTGGCATTATTTTCCCCAACTTTGTTTCAAACCATGACATCTGTACATAATATTAACATTTGGAGTGCAATTCATATTGCAAAAGACAAAAGTCAACACCACCCAATTATACACAACATCTATTGGTCAAAACTACATACCAAAAGACCAAAATCAACTATTGTTTTTAAAATATCTAAGAGAAACTACTTGTTGCTATTCAATTGACAGTATCGATGTACGTCAGTGAATGCCATGCTGGCTAAAATTCAAATAAACCTTGTGAGAGCATTTTTGATAAGACTTTATTAAAATCCACAAAATTTTCACATCTGGAATTGAAAGTTTAGAAGAAATCAAATATAGGAAAAATCAGAACAACATCCATTTGTCCAGGATCAGAGTCTTCAATGCTTATTATGACTGTGCAGTATGGAAAGAGAGCCTGTCAAATCTGGAGCCAACACTATATCAGCTTGTATATACACAAATGACTAAAGAAGAAATGATATCTGATAGAGGACAAATGGAAAAGCAGTGAGCTATTTCACTGCATGTTTATTTATTTATTTGTCATGTCAGGGCAACCAGTCGATTATATTACATTTCTAACAGAACAAAGCAAACAAACAGACAAAATACAAAATTTTGCAGTTTGGTAGTTGATTAAATGTCCTTTGACCAGTATCTGGCCACTTGGAGTGCCTCTGGTGTTGCCGCAAGAAGGTCCTCCATGGTGCATGTGGCAGGGCTCAGGTTGCATTGCAGCAGGTGGTCAGTGGATTGCTCCTCTCCGCACTCGCATGTCGTGGATTCCACTTTGTGGCCCCATTTCTGAAGGTTGGCTCTGCATCTCATGGTGCCAGAGCGCAGTCTGTTCAGCGCCTTCCAAGTCACCCAGTTTTCTGTGTGCCCAGGAGGGAGTCTCTCATTTGGTATCAGCCATTGATTGAGGTTCTGGGTTTGAGCCTGCCACTTTTGGACTCTCGCTTGCTGAGGTGTTCCAGCGAGTGTCTCTGTGGATCTTAGAAAACTATTTCTTGATTTAAGTCGTTGACGTGCTGGCTGATACCCAAACAGGGGATGAGCTGGAGATGTCTCTGCCTTGGTCCTTTCACTATTGGCTGCTACTTCCCGGATGTCAGGTGGTGCAATACCGGCTATAAACAGTGTAATTTCTCCAGTGGTGTAGGGTGCAGACACCCCATGATAATGCGGCATGTCTCATTAAGAGTCACATCCACTGTTTTAGTGTGGTGAGATGTGTTCCACACTGGGCATGCATACTCAGCAGCAGAGTAGCACAGCACAAGGGCAGATGTCTTCACTGTATCTGGTTGTGATCCCCAGGTTGTGCCAGTCAGCTTTTGTATGATATTGTTTCTAGCACCCACTTTTTGCTTGATGTTCAGGCAGTGCTTCTTGTAGGTCAGAGCACGGTCCAGAGTGACTCCCAGGTATTTGGGTGCGCTGCAATGCTCCAGTGGATTCCTTCCCAGGTAATCCTCAGAGCTTGGGATGCTTGTCTGTTCTTAAGGTGAAAAGCACATGTCTGTGGTTTAGATGGATTAGGGATCAGCTGGTTTCCCCTATAATAGGCAGTAAGAGTACCTAGAGTTTCAACCATCTCAAAGCTCCCTGCTTGAGCGGTAATGGCACGATCATCAGCATAGATGAAACTCTCTGTCCCTTCTGGCAGTGGCTGGTCATTTGTGTAGATGTTGAACATGGATGGAGCAAGAACGCTCCCCTGAGGCAGGCCGTTCTTCTGTTTCCGCCATCTGCTTCTCTGGCCCTGGAACTCAACAAAAAAGTTCCTGTTTTGTAGCATTGTATGTAAATATTAGAACAATTGTTTCACAACTTCTATAAGAAGTTATCCATGCAGGAAGATCACTATTTGCCTTCTTTGTCTCTGCCATGGCTGCATTAATTACCTCTTTTGATCAGAGCCGTGCAGAACAGATTCCAATGAACGTTCAGAAAAATGAACTGTAGACCTCTCAGGAGAGGATTCCTTTTAAAATATAACACTTAATTCTCTGTAACAGGAGCAACAGACAACATAGCTTAGCCAGCGTACAAAACAGTTCCTTCTGAGCATTTGCAGCTAACCCTTTAATGTTGTAGGTTATTTCCAAACAATTTTTTACAAAAGGCACAGCTGCACAAATAAGAGTATCAAAAGTATCTTTACAGGAATGATTAAATGCTCTTCTGCGACTTTATATGATTGCTGAAAAAGGCCCAGGCGTGGTTCACAAACACCATGTAGCCAAGCAAAATAATTAGCTTTAAACATCATAGATGAAAATATATCCCATCCAAAACATTTGTTATGACAAAGAAGACCTCGGGCTGTGGGTTTCCACAGGTTCCCTTGTTCCTAAGCCGCTTATCTTTCTTGTGCAATTGCCAAATACAGCAAAATCATCCTTATTAGTAACATAGTTTAAAGTCAAGGGTTGAAGGGATCTATTTTGTTGCTTTTCTGTTTTTAGAAAAAGGAAAAGGAAACTGTCCGCATGAAAGGTTACAAGTGGAGCTCTTGATAGAGTGCCAACTTTTTCCGCTCTTTCAAAGCACTGGAGATGAGTACTGGGATGAGTATTGAGACTCACCATTACATCTACCTTTTCATTGAGAGGGCCAAGGTCAGCATGAAAAGGAAGCCCTGCCTGTCACACTGAAATGTGAATCATTAAACAATCAGATACCTCCCTTTGAATGCAGTCAGATCTCATGACC